CCAAAGTTAATATCCGATTGACTTTCAATTTATACACAGTGTTTAAGGTCATGAGACAAAGAAGCCTATTGATTTTCAGCGATTTCCGATAGTTACTGCCAGAGTTATGACCCTTGATCACTTCAAAAAATCTTGTGGATGCTCTAGAGGCTAAAGTTAATATCCGATTGAGTTTAAATTTATACACAGTGTTTGAGGTCATGAGACGAAGATTCCTATTGATTTTCAACTATTTCTGATAATTACTGCCAAAGTTATGGCCCTTGATCACTTTGCAAAATCTTGTGATGCTCTAAAGGCTAAAGTTATAATCCGATTGACTTCAGATTGATACACAGAGTTTAAGATCTTGAGACGAACAAGTATATTGATTTTCAATGAATTTTTATGACTTGAACAGTTAAATTCATGATATTAAAACCTTTGCATACAAAACGTTAGCATGGGGCAGAACTTTATAAAAACCAAACAAATTCTAATAGTTTTCTGATAATTACTTCGTGAGTTGTTGCTCTTAATCAGATTTTAGTGTATTATAAATGTTTCATTACCGAAAAAAGTAGAAAAATATGCGACAACCCTTGTTGACTGCCCGGACGATTTAGTTGCTGTGGGCGTATGTTTCGTTGCCTGGCAACCTATCTTTTAAAAAAATGCTGTAGTATTAACAATAATCATCAAATTTTAACATATGATGCATTTTGACATAGCCGGAGACCAGGCACATAGCTGTGCTACTTTTGATTTTTGATTGTCGACGAATCTTCGTAGATATTAAGTGCCAAATTTTGAAAATTTAAAATTTTACAAAAAACTTTTTTATTTATGAATATTTTTAAATGACATTTTTCCCCAGGGTTGAAGAGTTATCAGATTTGACTAAAAATGTCAAGATTTTTTGTGTCCGTAATTTTCCTTGGCAGCCATTGGCTAATTCAGTTTTTCAGTCCTAGATTAATTATTTATTATTCGATTTGTACAAAAGAAAGTTCATATGCTGCGTGGTCCAAAATGTCATTTTATTTGTTATCGGTAAAGTTTCCTGTCGGCAACAGAACTGACGTCAAATCAGCAAAAACTACAATTTTGACAGTTTGGTACAACTTTTTGAAAGCAAATATCATTTTTTTTTTAAATCTGATTTCGTTTTCGGGCCATTTAGATTAAAAGGCGAAAAAAGGTGTAAAAATAAGCTATTTACAACCCATCCACCGTCTTCATATTTCAAAATATTTCAACGTAACTTTCATAACCTTGTACCAATAACCCATACAAAGAAAATGTATGTCAAAATTAGTTTGTAATATCAGCAGTTGCCGAGAAATAGACAATTTTGCATGAGTCACATTTCGTGTTATTTTGCCTGTACAAGAATCAATTATTATTCAATTTTCAATTTTCTTTCACCATTTGATGCCTAATGCCACGTTTGACTAGATTAAACTATTTTAACACCTTTATTGTCACTGGAAGTGATGTCATTCGGGCAAAAACTGAATTTTAGCCTTCAGAACCGATACTTTTTTCGTATATGTTATTTGTTGAAAAGTATGATATTTGATTCAAATCAACAATTAGAATAAACCCATACGATCATACAGATACCACAAAATAATTCCTAACTTGTACGGTTGCAGAGAAATAGACGATTTTCTACTGGTCACTTTTCAAGGTTTTTGGTCTATAACAGTGTCAATTATTATTCGATTTTCATAAAATTTTCACCATGTGATGCCTTATACCATTTTTATACGCCCCTGATTGTACGAAAAATCACGTTTTTAGCTTGTGAACACTGTAGAGGTCACAATTTTTATCCGATTTGCAAGGGTCAATATGGGCATGGAAAAATTTAGTCTTCACTGGCTACTAAATGCTAAAAATTTACTAGCCAGCACCAAAATTTTAGTAGCCAGGATGCTACTGTGGAACTTATGGAACTAACATTAGAACTCGAAGCACTAGACCTAACGATGTCAGAAGTGTCAGAAACAACAAGGTCACTTTGACTCGTAGTTGAACTACTGCCACTACCGGCTAGATTTCCGTCAGAAGACTGTGTCAGAGAGGAATCTTCCTTTTTTTTTTAAAGAAAGAGCTTAAAAGATTTTGTTTTTTATTCATTTTATTAATATATAGGGAATAACTTTAATGTATGGGTTAGAAAAATGGGTCAACAACATGCGTAGTCGGACATTTTGTATACATTGCCGTAAGTTAGAAGTTAGAACGATTTTCGGCACATGGTAAGAAAATATATGAATGTCGTAAATATTGTTGTTAAATTGGAGTTATTTCCCCTAGTAAGTTCCGGTTTTACGAAGCACTGAATAAACAAATTCAATTTTGTAAAAAAAAACTTTGTAATTATTTTAAAACGAGAAAAAAAACTTAGTCGCCAGCAGGCGACTCAAGTGAAAATTTTAACTAGCCAGAAAATATATTTGGTCGCCATGGCGAGTGTTTTAGTCGCCATGTAGAGCCTTGCCGATTTGGTTTAAACTTGAAATGTATGCTTATAACCCAAAGATCTCGGTTCCTTTCGATATTCCCGCATATCGTAACGTAACTTCCTGAATTATGGCCCCTGATTGTACGAAAAATCTCGTTTTTAGCTTGTGGACCCTATAGAGGTCATAATTTTTATCCGATTTAAAAAACCGTATTATTATATCACCGTTACACACTAAGGACGACTGAGTTCGAATTTTGTGAAAATCGGCCCAAAATTGACAGACAAAATGGCCGGCGTTCGTTCTCGAATAGCGTAAAAATATGGTATATCAAGGTTGTGGACCCTATAGAGGTTACAATTTTAATCCGATTTTGTTGAAACTTGAAATGTAAGTTTATAACACAAGATCTCGGTTCCTTTCGATATTCGCGCATATCGGACCGTAACTTCCTGAATTATGGCCCCTGATTGTACGAAAAATCACGTTTTTAGCTTGTGGACCCTATAGAGGTCATAATTTTTATCTGATTTAAAAAAACGTATTATTATATCACTGTTAAACCCTAAGGACGGCTGAGTTCGAATTTCAGGAAAATCGGCCCAAAACTGACAGACAAAATGGCCATCCTTCGTTCTCAAACAGCGTAAAAATATGGTATATCAAGGTTGTGGACCCTATAGAGGTTACAATTTTAATCCGATTTTGTTGAAACTTGAAATGTAAGTTTATAACACAAGATCTCGGTTCCTTTCGATATTCGCGCATATCGGACCGTAACTTCCTGAATTATGGCCCCTGATTGTACGAAAAATCACGTTTTTAGCTTGTGGACCCTATAGAGGTCATAATTTTTATCTGATTTAAAAAAACGTATTATTATATCACTGTTAAACCCTAAGGACGGCTGAGTTCGAATTTCAGGAAAATCGGCCCAAAACTGACAGACAAAATGGCCATCCTTCGTTCTCAAACAGCGTAAAAATATGGTATATCAAGGTTGTGGACCCTATAGAGGTTACAATTTTAATCCGATTTTGTTGAAACTTGAAATGTAAGTTTATAACACAAGATCTCGGTTCCTTTCGATATTCGCGCATATCGGACCGTAACTTCCTGAATTATGGCCCCTGATTGTACGAAAAATCACGTTTTTAGCTTGTGGACCCTATAGAGGTCATAATTTTTATCTGATTTAAAAAAACGTATTATTATATCACTGTTAAACCCTAAGGACGGCTGAGTTCGAATTTCAGGAAAATCGGCCCAAAACTGACAGACAAAATGGCCATCCTTCGTTCTCAAACAGCGTAAAAATATGGTATATCATGGTTGTGGACCCTATAGAGGTCAAAATTTTTAATCCGATTTTGTTGAAACTTGAAATGTATATTTATAACCCAAAGATCTCGGTTCCTTTAGATATTCGCACATATGGCCTCTGATTGTACAGAAATCACGTTGTGGACCCTATAGAGGTCATAATTTTTATCCGATTTAAAAAATCGTATTATTATATCACCGTTACACCCTAAGGACGGCTGAGTTCAAATTTCGTGAAATTCAGCCCAAAATTGACAGACAAAATGGCCGCCCTTTGTTCTCAGATAGCGTAAAAATATGGTATATCAAGGTTGTAAACCCTATAGAGGTCACAATTTTTATCTGATTTTGTTGAAACTTGAAATGTAAGTTTATAACCCAAAGATCTTGGTTCCTTCAGATATTCGCACATATCGAACCGTAACTTCCTGAATTATGGCCCCTGATTTTACGAAAAATCGCGTTTTTAGCTTGTGGACCCTATAGAGGTCATAATTTTTATCGGATTTAACCAGTCATAATTTGGAACAAGAATTTGCTTTCTTTACAGTAGGATTAGCTCTAATCAAATGAAACACTGCGAGTAGTATGGGTCCCCCTAGAGGTCAAAATTTTTATCCGATTGAAAAAAATGTTTGAATATTTTACTATTGCACCCAAATGTTTGAATATTTCACTGTTACACCCTAATGACGGCTGAGTTAGAATTCTGGGAAAATCGGACCAAAATTGACATATCAAATGGCTGATCCCCGTACGCATATAGTGTAAATATATGGTATATCAAGGTTGTGGACCTTCTAGAAGTCTGGAAGTCAAAATATTGATCCGATTTTGACGAAACTTGAAATATATTTTTACAACCCAAAGATCTTGGTTCCTGTCGATATTTGCGCATTCCTGAATTATGCCTCTTGATTGTACGAAAAATTGCTTTTTGTTTAGCTTGTTCTCTATCTTTTGCAAAATGTGGGCGTATCCTGCCTGGCAGCCGCTGGTTAACTATTAATGTGAGACCTGCCAGATTTTTATCTAATCTTCCATAAATCCCCATTAATTACATGTATGTTCACTGTGGTGATCCAGTTCATTCTGGCTGCCAAGTTCTTACAACTATTTATATTATTCGTTAACATTTTAAATATTCTTAACAATGATTGTTACATCTTAAATATGCTTAAGAATGAGTTTTACATCTTAAATATTCTTAACAATGATTTTTAGAAATGGTTTCAGTTGTAACAGCTGATGGAAGAATTATAGTGGTATTTATTATTTGTTATATATTATTATTTGCAGTGCATTGTTGATTATTTGCCTGGATACTGAAATCAAAAGTAATCATTTCGACTTTGAATTCCAGTCCAGACATTAACTTTCAAAGATAACTTTCTAACCAATGCTCGGATTTAAGGGGCTGGGGGGGCGTCAGGCCCAGTCCCCAAAAATTTAAAGCTCAGTATATTACTTAGGCCGCGGTTAATTAATTGTTTCTTTCTCATGACCCGCCCTCATGTCCGTTTTCATCCGTAATAATTACGCACTTCCATAATTATTTGGTCAAATTTAGTGAGGTCCAAAATTTGTCCTTTAGAACTATATTTGTTTGCCTTTAAATATGAACAATGAATTGAAGCATTAAAATCCACTATTTATCGATGAACATGACACTGTAGGTGATAAGTAAAGTAGGCTAGAATGTGAATGTGAGTCCATCCGCAAAACGGAAGTGATAAAGCCATATCATATCTGTCATCCATACCAAGGAATGGTAGCTACAACATTCACCAAAGACCACATATATACTCTATAAGGCACTTGTCATTTGTAATAAAATTCACAGAAAGATATAAATGTCTTTTAATTCCTGCTAAATTATTTTATTTACTGACTAGCAATGGTCCCAGAACTGCCGCCATGAGATAGCCTCGATCATGAGAATAAGATACCGACTGGTTGACACTGCTTCACTCCTTCACGGTATAAACAGTCTCAAAAGGACACAGAGATACAAATAAATGTAAACAGTTTGATTAAGATAGACAAAATAATAAAAGTATTTATATTATCATGATGCCAGTGCCGATCAAAGTAGGGAAGGATAAAGAAATGAAATGCCAAGAATGAATGAATTAACAAACCCTTAACTAAAAAGCATATCACCAATAATTTAAACTGATATAGTGATCAAGGGTATTTTTACAAGTAACAAGGCGTCCGCAATAATAACAATGTTACCTATTTGAAGCCTATTTGAAGTCGAAAGCATAATCTGAGCCGCAGCTACTGCAAAACAGCAATATATAGGTTAAATACCACTGGTAGCATGGGACTCTGTGGATAGGTGGAAGTAGTTCCGGTTATCCTGACGGATACCTGTATTATTATATATACAGGGCAAAATCACAACACACCTCCCTGTCTTAATGTGAAAGGATTGGTTCCTGGTTCTGAAAAAAATGTCCTACTCTTTACACTCACACTTTCAATCACACCAGTAACGGTATACAGGTACACCGTATCATTCACGCATCAGTCAAGAACAAATCGGTTGTAAATTCACCGAAAAAATCTACATACACAGCTATTTAACGGTTTACAGCAAAGTCACCGTAGGCATGGACAGGTAAATATTCAACATCGTAATGATGAAGGCATTTTCACTTTAAATTTTGTTCCTTTATTTTGAAGTAAAGATTGAATCTTATTTCTAAAACTCGAAAAATAGCATTTTATTCTTGCCAAATATTTTTGTATTCGTAACAAAGGCCCTCTACAAATAGTATAATAGTTCATGTTGACCACAGTTGAACTCACATGTGGAATATTGAGACATTCAATATTATGTAACGGTAAACTGACTATGCCATTCAGTCCCATGTTTAACGCAACATTTCCATAACTTATAATTTTCTTTTGATTCGACCGTAACGGATCGAGATAAATAGATTAGACCATTTTACAGACGAACCGATATGCTTTTAATGCAAACTTGATTACATCGATGAGAGAAATCTCAATCACAGCATGTGATCGGGCAGACTGTTCAAACAATTTGTCGGAAATATTTAAAGATCCAGACGTAAACTCAGTTAAATGATTGTCGATATTACACCGTGAGATAGTTAACGGTGAAGCTAATATCTGCTTCAGGACAGCTAAATAACTATTTGTAACTTCTGATTCGTAACACGCATCAAAGACATCGTCGATAATGCACGAATTATCAATAAATAAATCTGTGTTCACCCTATTTTCATCTCTGATGAAATTGACACACAGCTTAATTACAGTGGACTCTGTCACATCCGACATCGTACGGGATCGTTACAATATTTCGGATCACACAGCGTGTCGGAATACCAAGCTTTCTCCAAAACCGGAAATACTGTAACTTCGAAAACCGGAAGTATTTTTATATTGTAGCTTCGAATGCTATTCCCTTTAAAAATGATAAACCTTTCTGTACTTTCAAAATTTTATTACATTAAATAATTAACAATAACAATGCATGCGTACAATATATTCATAAAATCATTTACATGTAATATCAATGCATGCGTACAATATATTTATAAATATCAATGCATGTAATCGGTTAAAGTAGTTTGCTTAAGATTACCGGAAGCATATCATAAGGCGGAGCCCTGGACAACATCTAACAAATGAATTGTTGCGATCATCTTTTCGTCCTTAATAGTTCATGTTGACCACAGTTGAACTCACATGTGGAATATTGAGACATTCAATATTATGTAACGGTAAACTGACTATGCCATTCAGTCCCATGTTTAACGCAACATTTCCATAACTTATAATTTTCTTTTGATTCGACCGTAACGGATCGAGATAAATAGATTTTATTTTATTACATTAAATAATTAACAATAACAATGCATGCGTACAATATATTCATAAAATCATTTACATGTAATATCAATGCATGCGTACAATATATTTATAAATATCAATGCATGTAATCGGTTAAAGTAGTTTGCTTAAGATTACCGGAAGCATATCATAAGGCGGAGCCCTGGACAACATCTAACAAATGAATTGTTGCGATCATCTTTTCGTCCTTAATAGTTCTGTACTTTCAAAATTTTATTACATTAAATAATTAACAATAACAATGCATGCGTACAATACTTCTGTGCGAAGTATTTAATGTCGTTGAGCATGCGTAGGCATTTTGAAGAGGTCAAGTCTGTCGTTAATGTATATTCTTCATCGTCCCCGTCTTCAGTCAATTGTCCACTTGTCTTCTCTGTTACGCGTTCATTTATAATCTGTCGTTCTATGTCCAGTTCATGGTCACACTCGGTCGGTATTTCACTGTCAAAATTTACAAACTCGTCTTTGTAAATGCTCTGATTATACCCTGATCTAGTGGTTGTAATATTGATGTGGTATTTGGTGGCAAAAATTTAATATTTACGTTGCTGTACGACACGTGTCACAGATATGGGATGGTGCATTGTCCATAAACAAAAGAATGTTACGTCGTTGACGCCTCATTTGACGATTGAGTTTTTCAAGCCAATCAGAGTAAATGGCACCTGTCATCCAAGCTTTGCGATTGGCTGACCAATTGACTGGCAGGTTGATCTTGTCCACTCGCTTAAAACATCTCGGGTTCATTGCTTTACCGATCACCGATAATTGATTGGTGATTGCTTGTTAATCTTTTCTGGATGCTTCACACCCACCGTTTAAAGTACGGATTATACGGTGTCGATTCAATGGAAATTATGTGACGGGACGGCTGATTGATGTCGTAGTCCGGAACATACAGAATCCGGATTTACCAGCGATTTTTTGGCTGAAGTAATAAGGAAATAAATCGGGACATGAAAATCATGTCGGATGTCACAGCAATCCGGAGTGATCAGACATTGGATATCACAGAGTCCACTGTAGTTCTACTATGAACAAATTCATTTCTTGAAATAACCGCTTATCCAAATTTACGGGTCCAGCCAAATCATACACAGGAACATCGAACCATTTATATATTGTAGATATATTTAACTCCACACACTTAAGAATATTCCCTAGCGGTAAACTGTGCAACAACTAAAGTTGATAGACCGCGAAATAGAAGTCCCGTTTGACCATTTGACACTGAACGCAACCAGTTCATTAAACTCGGGAAACTCTCTAATTTTTGACAATTTATCCATTAACTCTTGACTGCAATGCTCGGAATGTTTTGTCATCTGCCTTCCAGTATTTAACACAATAGACACATGTTGACTTTGAGCTTTTAAATTAAACTGACTTATAGAATCTGAATGATCACTGATGTAAACGCCGATGTAAATCCGTGAGTTACGTCTATTTTCGAGGAATCAATTGGGTCGATTTTTTAAATGACACCTTTTGCATCGGTATCCTGGAACTTTTGATCACCCCTCGGGGTGGTGATATTTGTTACATCACTGTATAAAATTGTTTTATTGAAACCGTTCAAAGCATTGGCAGTTTCAAAACTGGCAATCGTCCCGCGTCGATCGACCCGTTCGTAGTCGAAGTTTCAGACATCTCGAAAGGCGAATCAATGGACAAACTTGGGACACAAGGCTTGCCTGCTTGATCGAGTTCATGTTGTAATTCGTCTATTGCAGCTCGTTCATGGACAACTTGTGGGTCTCACGTTGAATTCTCCGAAATAAGTTTGGAGACTGGAGTTTCCGTATTGGGCATTATTGCATGTGACCGATGAGTTCTTTCTGAGGAATTACAAATATCAGTTAACTGACAGCACTGATCAGTTAATTTGTCAATTTTATTGATGATGTCAGTACACGTCTGATCCATCCTGTCCCAGCATTGCTCTATTTTGGACGAAGTCATTTTCTGTGATTCAGAAGTTTCGGCTCAGATTTCGGTTGCTGCCAGTACATTATCATTACGCCTACAACTAATTCTTTGGACCGGTGATAATTGATTGTGAAATGGGTTTGCGGCGCGAGAAATTTCTGCAGGACTAAAACATTCCGCGAGTTTTGTCATTAGTTCAAAGCATGTCAAATTACCATTCCGTGAAAGGACTATTCTATGAACATCGACCGCATATCCCTTTAAACAAAAGAACTGTTCCCTCCATTCCTGGTCGGACCATGCCTGTTCTAGGGCAAACCTGCTAAATTTATTGGCAAAACTAGGCCAGTTGGAATAGCCATCAAAGAACAATGACTCTGGAATATTATAAGACCTTTGAGATCGGTTGAATGTACTATATTACCCATATAAAACTGACGGG